TTTTCAGTTTTTTTACTTTGTGCTTTTGACTACACTTGGATTCAAATTAATTTCAGTGTTTCACTGTAGTTGGTTTTGCCCAGTTTGTCCAAGTTTTCCACACAGCAACAGGGAGAATTAACAAAAAAAACCCAGATACACTATATATATATTAGAAATGACCAAAACAATTGGCAGAGACCTCAGGGGCAGATGTACAACTGTTTTTTTTCTTTTTTAAACTGTGAGTTAACAGCATCTCTAAGTTACACAGGAAATACACACAAGTGTTATGTGAACTAGAATGCTGCAAGGAAACTGCAAATGGACATAACAGAAAATGCATTTTTGCTCATTATACAGTTTTTTATAGATCCATTTTTCACTCATGTACAAGAACTCCTGTATTTCTTAACTTCTCAAACTGACTGAGAACTTTGTTGCACCCCAATTTTAGCTCCCAAAATACCAGACTATTAAAAAATAATTGAAACAAAAAGAGTCTTTAAATTAAAAATATAATACATTTCTAGCCAGAGCTTCATTGTTATGGAAGATTTAAGAATAAACATGATCGTATAGCTAATAAAACAGGAAACAAAATGAGAAATCTATATAAGGGCACTCAAAAGTCTGGTCTTCAAAGAATATTCAGACAGATGCCTCAATTTAACATTTTAAGCAAAAAGTGTTGATACAGTGACATGTCACTGTGTGTCATATCACATACCACAATTAAAAAGCCAAGCATGAGAGCCCATGTCCAGACTATGAAAATGATGCCTGTCCCTAGGTTCAATTGTCAAGACACTTGCATGAGAGATCAGATCCTCCCTCTAGGGAAGTGACACAGCAAGTCTGAAAACCACATGTTTGCAAGCTCCTCAGACTCTAGAGGGTATAATAAACTACTAATCCCTGAACGGGAACTAACAGTTGACTTAGTCCTACTACGCTCCTCTGGGGGTAACCTGCTCAGAAATGCATAGAAAAGGAACTGGTTGGAAAGATCATTCTTTGATTCAAGTTGATCCTCCCTCAAAACAGAGTCCAATTAGAGTTTCAACTACAGGGCCCCGTCACTGACACCACGCTGTTTCAAGCAATGCTGACATTTTCTCTGATTATGCTCAGAGTCCTGGGGAGACACCACTAAGTTTTTGGCTCAGGCTGTGGCACAATAGGGCACTTGCTTAACCTGCTGTAAGGGTTATTGATTTGTGTCTGGGAGACTTACCACTGACTTGGAAAAACAGTCAAAAGGTTTGTGCCTCTAGGTCATTATTTTGTGCTGCAGAAACATGTGCAAATGTTAACTGTGCTCCCTATTTTCTATCAAAGGTGCAACTGGGATGTAAGAAACACCCAATTATAGTTGCACTTGACAGGAAGGATGTGTGAAGGGATGTCCAAAAAAAATCAGCATCTATCCAGGGAATTTTAAACAACTGCACTTGGGCACAAGTGGACACCGAGCCTTTTGCACCTCACTTTGCGCTGCATGGCCCCATTAACCATCATGTTTGAAGGAGCAAATGGAGGGACCCCAGCATCCACTGTTGCTTCACTGATGCACTGCATTGGGTTTATTACATGACAATATGGGGTCATTCACAGTGCAGCTATATCAGGTACCATAAATGGCCATGGGGGGGGAGAGAGAAAGAGGGGAAGAAAAAAGGTGTCCTCTGCTCCCCAAGGCCCAGACCTCCTGCAGGATCAGGCTTGCCACAAGACCTATAGGCTACGAGTGGGGTTCATGGAGTTAACAGAGACAAATTACTCTTCAGGTTCAGATTTAATTTAATTTAATTCTCAAACCAGCTACACTTCAGAGGAGGATTTGGAAGAGCCAGACACAGAGGAGCTGTGCCCTAACCACGTCACCACCATCCTGGGGGCCATGGCAACAGGAAGCTTTCAGAGTTCTGGGGGCTACCACATGGATCAGACAAGTCTGCCACCTCCAGCTGCATTAAGCATTTCTCCATGGTATCTTCAGGAAAGGGTAGTAACTCTCTCTGGGAAAGGCTGCAGCACCAATCAGTCAACAAGAGAGTTCTTTGACATTGCAGTTTCTATATCTCCTGTATCAGTGACTGCATACATATTGTCCTTAGGCCAGGGTATGCTCAGCCATCAAGGTCACCTATAGGAAGAAAAAAAAGGTTCCAATCCAATTAATATATATCTATCCTTGGCAATGCTTATCACATCCTTAGGGTCCTACCAAAATCACTGCCATGAAAAACACATCACGGAATGCGAAATCTTGTCTCCCCCTGTAAAATCAGGTCTTTTGTGTGCTTTTATTCTATACTATACAGATTTCATGAGTGAGACTAGAGTTTCTCAAACTGGGGGTCCTGACCAAAAAGGGAGTCGCGGGGGGGGGGGGGGGGGGAAGGGTTTTTTTGGGGGGGGGGGGGGGGGGGGGGAGACAAGGTTATTTTACGGGGGGGAGGTCATGGCATTGCCACCCTTACTTCTGCGCTGACTTCAGATCTGGCAGCCGGAGAGCGGCGGCTGTTGGCCCAGCTCTGAAGGCAGCGCCCTGCCAGCAGCAGCACTGGTAAGGGTGGCAATACCATACCACCCTTACTTCTGCACTGCTGCCTTCAGAGCTGGGCAGTCGGACAACAGACACCGCTTTCCGGCTGCCAGCTCTGAAGTCAGCACAGAAGTAAGCGTGTCAATACCATACCATGCCATCCTTACTTCTGCGCTGCTGCTGGCAACGGCTCTGCCTTCAGAGCTGGGATCCCGGCCAGCGGCCACCACTCTCCAGCTGCTCAGCTCTGAAGGCAGAACTGCCGCCAGCACCAGCGCAGAATAAGAGTAGCTGTGCCACATCCCCCATACAATAACCTTGCGCCCTCCCCACAACTCCTTTTTGGGTCAGGACCCCTACAATTACAACACCATGAAATTTCAGATTTAAATAGATGAAATCATGACATTTACAATTTTAAAAATCCTATGACCATGAAATTGACCAAAATGGACCGTGAATTTGGTAGGGGCCTACACATCATCTTAGACAAAGTTGCCCAATACCCAGGAGCATGTCTTAAATCCTTCAGTTCTCAGACACTCTGGGCTGTTTGGGAACATTGACTGGACAGATCACCAGAGACTGGCTTCTGAGCAAGTACCCAGATTAACATCACTTTTCCAGTAGAACTCTTGCTAAAGTTAGCAAGTAAACCAAGGTGGAGACAAAGAAGGCACGTTGGCCTAATTCTCACACTGTTTGCTTGTAGCAGGCAGAACCTACCTTCTGAAAACTTGGCTCATGATCTCTGTGGCAAACTCCCAATAATTTCCAAGAGTTAAATTGTGGTGCTGCCCATCACGGTACCAGTCCAATCACAGATATCTTTCAGCATCCTGAAACTGAGATTCATATGTCTGGATAATCAAGTGGCATGTTGCTTTACAAGACAGTAACAATGTGAAACACCATTTTGGGCTTGCTGCATTCTGCATATTGCCTTAGAGTGCAGGATGCCATTGCCAGGGGGGCTAGAAGTGGAAAATCATAAAGTCCTATCCCAGAGAGAGATTTCCAGATGACTCCCACACTCCCGGATGCTGATCAAACAAAGACATTCAGGCTTACCAATAACACCCTCACACATTCAAACAGAAAAAGAAGGGGTGAAAGAGGAAAGGACACAGATGCTGCAGTTAATTGAAAGTTATCTTAACACCATGGACACTTGCTAAATGTAGTGAGAAGTAGATGTAGGTAAGGCCTGAATTTAGATCCATGTAGACAGATGCAAGAACAAACAGAAGTGCTAACAATGTTAGTCTGCCAAAGCAAAAATTGCTACGAGACTTGTAGTAAAAGCCATCAGAATGGCATATACAGAAACATATGGTTCATAAAATTTACTTAGGTGTTGGCAAGGTACCCAGTACCCAGGGGCAGCTACACAAAACAGAAAGGAGGGGAATGATCATACAAAAATAGTTGTTTATATTTCCTTAAGCTTTCCACCCCTGCCTCTCATTCTTTTCTTTTGTATTTGATGCTGAGGTCTCTGAAAAAGCCATTCTGAAATTGGCTACTTCACTCACTCTCAATGGGTTGCGTTGGCTCCTTAGGGGCACGTGAGGCATCCCCTACAGCTGATGCTGCACCAAGATATTACACTTGACTCATGAGGGTAACTATCACGGAAACACATGACCTTACAATCAGTAGTACATCTGATGGTCTGGGATCAGTCCTTTTTTTGTGGCCAAGCAATGATACATCCAGTGGTCTATCACCAAGCTCGTGGGTTGTTCGATATATCACATGTGCTCCTTCCTCTCAGGTCTTTTCAACAGCTTGTGCCTGTTGCATTTCAGGAAGCAAGTCTACTCCCCAATCTGTTTGTCTCAAGGACTATTCATTGTCCCTTACCAGTTCCACCCTCCCTCCTACATTACTTCCCACAATCAGCCCCCGAACGTTGTCCACCTTCTCTACCTCTGGGATGATTAGTAGTTTTGGTCATTATTTCTTATGATGGTGTCATTATCCAGATCAACCCGTCTACTCTCTGCAACTTACTTATCCTGATTCTGGATACTTATCCTGGGATGCTGGACTAAGTCTTCTACAGAGTATGTGACTGGCGCATCAACATGGTTAGGTGGACATGTATTGGTTGACTAGGATGGTTTGTCCTCATCCAGATCAGTGGACACTTCCTTCCTTCCAAGTCCTCCAATGTTATTCCCATTCCACAGACTCTTCAGCAGAGTCAAACTGCTGAACATGCCTAGATGGGAATTTCTTGGAGATTTTGGCTTCCTCTTGATTGGGCTCATCCTGGTTCTTATAACAAGCAAACAGAAGCATGAAGACCAGGACCTTATGACAACTACCCTGCACAGCCTTCCTTAATACTTGGGCTAAATCACTCAGTGCTAGAGTGAGAGAGTGTTCTGGAAGTAATGCGGGAGGGGGAAACAAAACCGACAATGTATTGTTTACATTTTATTAACATTAATGAAAAGTGCAACTAATACAAGGGGGTGTTTGGTTTGGTTTTGAAAAGCAACACAGACAAATGTCAGCTGAGCAATATTAAATAAGATATGTACACTTGTGTCAGTATCACATTAATCAATATAGTCAAAGTCTTCTGGAATCCCAAAACTTTTGTCAATTCTGTTCTCTTCAAATCCAAATTTCCGTTTGGCCCAAGATTTTATTGCAAAGATATTATCTGTGAACAGAGTGAAGAAATGTTTCAGTTCACAAGCAGAATGGGGGCACTAGATTCCTCACTACTGTAAACTCTTCACCACCTCTGGAAACATCCGAAAAAGCACAGAGCTGCAAAGCTTCTGAATATAATTTACTAGGTAGGGCTAAGAGGGGAAAGAGGAATCAAATACTTGTTCTGTTTTTATGAATAACTGAGCACTGCTACAAATGCTAATGAGGCAAATAGGGTTGGTAAAAATGTGTGCATAAAAATAAAAATTATGCTCAAAATGAGTTTTTAGCCACTATTATGGCTATTATGTCCTTAGCTATAAATTCTGTAGCTATTTTATTTTGTATAGTTAAAATATTACTTAAAAGATTAGAAAAAATTGGGCTTATACAGTTGTTATTTTGGGGGAGCTTCTTCACGGTTTACGAACAGAAACTTGAAAAGGTGTAGGCTTTTAAAAAATATTCCTATCTGATTATTTTCACCCAAGAAATATTAGCAATATCAAATCTGTTCTTCCCTGATTATGCTGAGGACCTGCTGAACATCCTAAAGAATGTGCATTTTCTGTGAACTCTCACAGCTTAATTTGTTAAAAAGTGTTAATAATTGAAGCCAAATAGCTGTAACAAAACCAAACTGAAGTGTTTCAAACAGTCTGATAAAGAATCCTTTCTCCTCTCAATTATCCAAATGTCTCCTGCCTCTGATGAGGTCATAATTTTACTTGATCTCCACTCATTTTAGGGCTGGTGTAGTCTAGCTTGTAACTGAGCCAGCTGTCCTGCACTGGTGTAAAGGTAAAAGTTCAGTATATCCACATTGAATCATGTTAACAACCTTTGCAAGTTTTGCCATGCACCTGCAATGTGCTGTTCTAAAAAATTACAACTGCAATGCCGTGAGGGTAGCTACTTCACAGTTCCCAATACAGCCTCCAGAAGCAGTGTATTCTGGGTGACTTTTCAAAAGGCCACCAGTACACTGTGGAGCACTAGTCAGAGGACTAGTTTAATTAGTGGTCTTTTGAAGTCACTGAATACATTCTTCCACTACTATTGAACAGTTGAATAAGGGCTAGTCTACAGTGGCAACGTTAAAGCGCTGCTGCGGCAGCGCTTTTACGTGGCTTGTGTAGTCACAGCACAGCGCTGGGAGAGAGCTCTCCAAGTGCTGTAAAAACAAACAAAAAACCACCTCCACGAGAGGCACGGCTCCCAGCGCTGGTGCACTGTCTACACTGGCGCTTTACAGCACTGAAACTTGCTGCACCTACCACTTCTCTGTTTCTAGAAAAGATTGGGTTATTCACTTACTATACAGTGAACAGGGTCAAATTCTGAAAAAATGTAATTTACAAACACAATATTCCCACCAATTAAAACTCAAATGAAAAATACACATTGTTTGCTCTGCAAAAGGGCAATATGTAACACAAATCACCTGCAGAGCAAAAGGGAGGGGAAATAATGGGTAAAATATTTCCATAAGAACATAATGCAGTAACCTTCTTCAAAACTGCAACAGCTTATAGATTTCATCTGTGACGCTGAGCAAACTCTACATACTCTAAGCAAGAATAATTACTTTGTCACTCCACATATATATTTGCATCTGAATGCACACCAGCGACAACAAAACCTCTATATAGCATTGTAAATTTTAAACACATTAAAAAAATGTAAATTAAGATTAAATTCATAAAATAATTCATGTAATTTGCTATGCCAGTGCCAACCACATCACTAACATTAAGGGACTTCTGCTATTGAAGTCTCCTGATAGCAACTGTAGAAATTAGCTCCAGACTGAAATCTGGCAAACCAAGTTTCTACTAGGAGAGGAAGTCTGCTATCCATTTAAAAAAAAATTAAACTGGTAGGTTGTGAATTATATACATGAAACACACACATCGATGCACCCATTTCTAGGGGGGTTATTTCCCTGCACTTCCAGAATCAAGGCTCATCTTAGCTGAAAAATTACATATAATTTAAAAGCCCTATAAGTCACTGAGCAGAACTTTGAGTTGAGTTTCGCTACACTCAAGTGCCATAATTAGGAATGTTGTTGAACACTGTAAATGCATACCCACCAGTCCATCTATTGGCTGCTTCCTTGGCGACTTTGTTTGCTTGACCTGAAAGAGAGGAAAACCATGTGCAGTCACATAATTTAACAAGTGCAAAACAGTGAGATGATGTTTATATTGACACAGTTCCTATGAATCCACTGACCATAATGAAGATATTCATCTGTGACTTTCAAATATGTCTTTTTTAAGATTCAACCATGCCCCAAAACAAGGTTAATGAAAAATCATTAACAAAGGACCATAAAAGATACCATCTGAAGTGTCAAAAGTATTTTTAAGAATGTATTTTAAAAGAAAATAATTCTGGTTTAGCCTGCTTGGTGGCTCAGCAATAGTGCTCTGCACAGCTATGTGGGAGATCTGAATTAGGTCCATGGGCTGGAAGTGCTGCAGGGACAGCTGCCTCTTCTCTGAGAGAGAATGCTTGGCATTACTCAGGAGCAATCTCTCTCACCTGTAAATATTCTTATTTCTGTAGCATCACAGGTGTGCACGACTCTTTAGAGAAAAAGCACATCGCAATGGTAGTGGCCTGTGAGGTAAATCCAGTTGTGTATCATGTGCCTTAGAAGAGGGAACCAGAAAGGTTCTCAGGACTTCAAAGATATTAAGGACCCCTTTGATGGGATAGATAGAATAACGTTTCTGGATAACAAATGCAAAAATAAAGTTTAAAACACTTTTTAAAAAACCCCATCTCCACTGCAAGTAGTTTTAAAAGAGTTTTTATGACACAAACCAGTTTCTAAGAAAGTTTGTTAAATCTTCTTGTCCTCATTGGTGTAAATGCTGTATCAGCCTGGGAACTTATCAGAATCATCATATTTCTCATGCTTACATACACCTTGACCATTTCCAGTCAGCCTTGCTAGTGCTTGCATGATAATATTCATTTACAATGGTCAGCATGAAATACAAAGTTTGTCTCTAGGGCTACTGAAAATGAATATGAGATAAAGTGTTCATCGCCAAGGATTCTACTATAGGCAAATTTTAATTATTTTGCAAAATAAACTTAGCACACGCTAAGGTTGGTGCTCATTATTTAACTTTATGTGCTGCAGTCAGTGATGTGAAGAATGATTAGATAATAGTAAAAGGTAGTGGTGAAAGCTCTGAATTCTTTAAAGATAGCTTAAAAAGGGAGGGGGGGGAAATGGGACTTTGCCCTTTTGCTTCTTTATGATGTATGACGGCAAAGAGAGAGTGTTAGTTTGTTTTTTATATTGGAAATTCAGGTCATGTCTGTCCTGAGAGACTCTATACTCTTCTCTGCACTGGCATTTGTTCCAAGAATTTTCCATTGTTACTTCCACGGGTTCAGCAGCTCCATCGATGGGAATGCTAGCACTGACAATGTACTAGCAGCATCAGCATTTTAAGCACTGTATGGCCTACCCCTGCTCAGAGCAGGTCTACAAAATAAGGGCTTGTGTAGTCTAGGATAAAATGTGCATTTTTAAAATGTGTTAGCTAAACCATTTTAGCTAGCATGTTTTAAACCCTAGTATAGATAGGGAAAGTTGTATCGGAATCTAGGGCTTATCTATACTTGCTTGTGTGTGCTAAAATATATATACAACTTGCCCAGCCAACACTAGGGTTTTAAAACATGTTAGCTAAAATATTTTGAAAATGTACTTTTTCTCCAAGCCTAAACAAGAGCATATTGTATAGACCCACTGTGAGCAGGGTTAGGCAATGTAGTACATAAAATGATGGTAGCCAATTACATTCTCAGCAAATAGAGGATAAATAGGTACTTATGTATTTAATTACTATTTATTCAATATCAAGATAAAGTACATTCACCTGCAAAAATCACAACACACCTGTCCAATTTCTTTTAAATATTAACATTTGATAGACATGCTTGGTTTGTCAAAGATGTACAGAGATTTTACTTATTTTAAGAATATCACCAGAAGCATATCATGGGTACTATAAAGATTCTCATTGTAATATGGTAACATCCTGTTAAATGGAGAGATCTGATGATTATATTGCTGTTTTACTATATTAATATTTCTCTAAACAAAATCTCACTGTGGTAACAATTATTGTTTTGTCTCTGATATTTACATAGCATGGATTTGTAAACCTGATAAAACTTCCTAAATAAATAGTTAAAAAAAAATAAAAATAAAATAAAAGCTGGTAGCTGCATGGAGCCTTGCCTTTGCTAGCACTCCCACTGCTGGAGCTGAAACGCTGGTAGCCAGCGTCTTCTGATCAGTGCTTAATTTGTAATGAAAGAGGTGCTGGAGCTCAAGCAATTTTTTTACTTTCATAACTGATGTGGCAAGCCCAGAGGTGCCAGGGCTGTGACTGACAAGCCTAGAGGGGGCCAGGGCTCAGCCCTGGCACAAATTAAGCAAGGCTTCAGATTGTAGAAGTAGAGAAATGACATCACAAGAGCTGGAAAGTGAAGGTTTAACAATTAAGATGGGAAAGGATTTTTAGCCACACTTTCTAACTTTGTTTGTTTGTTTTGCTAACGTCTATTCAACTTCAATGAATGGTAACACTGTATAGAAAACTAATCTTTGTCAAAGATTAAACAGTTAAGGTGTGTGAAATCACAATGTACATGCTCCAAGCCATCCATTAGGTCCCTCCAGCAGAAGTAGAGTGGACAATGACATTCTTGATATTTTTATGGTTAAAAAACAACACCACACAGATCTTTTTAAAAGCCACTTTCAGGCTCTCTTTAGGCATAAAGCAGGAAAAAGGGACAAGTCAATTTTTTGTTTAAAATCAGTCATTTTTCATCTCTAAAGGGTTACTGTAGAAACAATGACCCAATAATGTACAGGCCCAGCAATGTTACTAATAAATGCTGAAAACTCTCAGCATCCAGAACCTGCATATTGATTTTCTTTCTTCAAGTTTTTAGGTGGCAAAGAAAGAATTGTACTGAATTCCCTTTCTTACCCTGACTACTTTATCTTTCCAGGCCACCCTTAAGGCTTATCTTTTTATGTACCAAATAAGATCTCCATAAACAGGAACCTCAAGATCTTGCCCATAAGAATAATGAAATGCCAAGTCTCCCAAGACAAAGTAGCTAAATTTACAAAACAAGTAGCAGCTGGTGACAGTGTGAGCTACCATACTAACTCAGCAGGCAGGTTTTATGGATTTCTTCACTGAAAGGATCAGAGATTGCAGAGAAAACTGACAACTTTTCAAGGATATAATTAACAATCAGCCTGCAGAACTGTTATCAGGTAATGCAAAATATAACTAACATCTTAAATATTTTTGGGGTAAAGTAACTTTTACATCATGAAATGTAATTCTGTTGTATGGATCAACAGCAGGTGCAATTATTCTCACAGGCTAACAAGTGCTGTTAGTTGTGGGCTTCCTAGTACTGCTCATGCAGGGAGGTCTCAGTAAATAATAACCCTATAGTTACAGAAATGGAATTCACTCTGATGAGTCTCCCTTTGTATTTAAATATCAAAATGGTAGCTATAGTAAGAATTGTCTATGAACCTTAATCTTCTATACTTCTTCCTACTGACAGAACAATTTTGTATAGAAAATTTTCTACTCCCCTGGGTCTAAGGCCTCTGCTGTTGAGAAATTCATTAAACATTTCCCTTACCCCTCCAAGCACAATAGGCCAGATTTTCCTCTCACACTAATTCTTGACCTCTCTTGGAGAAGTCTCTTTAAGCTATTTCTGGGAGCTGTATGACATAAGAAGATGCCTACTAATGAAAGTGTGCTCATGCAATCAAATTCTGAGTTCACGTTTATTAGGAATGCCACTTCCAAGACCACTGGTCATAGGTGCATTGCAGAACTTACACACTTGGCATACAGGAGAGCACACTGCTAACTTGATTGCCTAGCAATTCCTGCTGACTCATCCATAGATCAATACTGACAGTGGCCTTGGACAAGGTTCTGCATTTTGCCATCAGGGACTATTTGTAGCAATGAGAGGGAAATCAAAAAAGTTAATGGAAGAGGCAGCAATCATGAGACAGAAAGCAGGGCAACAGCTCATATGTGTATGCCTATGCAAGTCGGGGTCCACAAAACTCTACCAGCAGACTCTATCAAACACTGAAGGAAGAAAAATCGAATTGTCTGATAGCATTGGGGAAGAAATGGATGCTCATGAGACGTTTCCATCATAATCAGAGTGAAGAACATGACCCATGACCCCAATGCTCTGCTTTACCAGAATTCTTTGCACTGTTTCAGCCAAAATATCAAATATGCTGTAATACTTTTAAAGTTCACTACATCATAAACTGGATTCAATGTATGCATTTGATTTGTCATTTAAATTATGCATTAAATATCTTATTTACTGTAGCTATTTACATTGAGAATGTTATCTTCACAACAAGGGCTAGAAATGTTTAAGTGAGTCTAGATCCTGTAGAAAATTTTGCGATTACTAGGAAATTCACCTGGGAGTCACAACTCCTAGCTTAAGATCCACTGTGTGTTAGAATGGTTTTGAAAGACATGGAGCATGACATAGTGCAAGCCATCTGCTATTGAAACCACCATGTGTATAAATTATATTAGCATTGCTTTCTCAAAAAATGAAGAACTTATGCCTGACAATAACCCCTGTGCAAATGCATATAATAGTTCCACCTCTGTCTCTATAGTGAGACACAGTAGCACATACTAAATTATTGGGAAGCTAATCCCCTATTCTGGGAGTGTGTTGTTAAAGTGTCTAAGATCTTTGTCAGCCTATTTAAAAAAAAAAAAAAAAGAGGACTCAAGTTCCATCAGTACAGGCTCCCTATGTCCTTTATGAAAAGGTTAGACTGTCAAGTCTCATCAGTACATATGTAATGTGTCTTTGAAAAATGTCTCATATGTTTTGTCAGGACTGGTAACAAAAAATTTCTGCAACCCACACATATACACAATGTACAGTGTCATGTACTCACACATACCACATTGTGCATGCGCACTCATGCATGCGCACATACACACATGTGCACACTATTCGCTTTAAAGATTTTTTTCCTTAAAATCCCACTCCTTAATTCTTGGTCTCA